AGGCGTGATGTTGAATTACTAAAGAAGTTCATTCGAATAAGATGGTTAGCCTATAATGAAAATTAATTTCATTAGTTTTTGTTGTAATGGAAGGCTACAAACTTATTGGTACGTTATATAATGTTCCCATCTATTAGCTGATCACTTTATCATATTTATCACTATATATATGTATCGTTGATTAAAAAGATCGTATTACAATAAACTATACTGATATACTAAAGAGTTTAAATTTTGGATTGTTTTTTCTAAGTTATTAAAATGGAACACAATGAGTAAAACAAAAAATGAATCATACACAGTAATTAATTAAAGTTTTTAAAGTATGTTTTTATTGTATATAATAATATGTTTGCTAATAATAATATTACTCATACATCAATGAAATAAAATTATTGAAATTCAAACAAACAAAAAATGAATAATTTGACATCTAAACCTGTTGATTTTGAATACACGTTATCTTTAGTAAGCAATGATAAGAAATACATTTGGCAATTTATGCTAATGAAATGTAATCGCAACTTTTTGATGCTTTTCGTATCGCTTGATAATTTTTACTAAATTCAAAAGTAATTTTGTCCGGTGAGGATGTATCAATTTTTGAATTATTGATTACTGATATAAGTTCCATAACAATTTGATGATAAACTAGCGGACTTCTCGCTGATTTCCCATCTGGTATCACTTCCCAATATCGCGCATCCATTTTTGATGAGTCTGCTTTAGCCTCTAAAAAAGGAAAAATTCGCAAAATAAAATTGCTAAAATCTTTAATTTTATCACTACACTCTCTCTCTCGCTCTTATTTTGAGTAATATTTGAAATTTATTATCTTTTGTCTATTTTTGCAAATAACTCTTTTTCTCTGAAAATTACTGATGAGATTACTTTAAATGAAAAAGTTACGTTCATATGATATAATCCTTGATGAGGTTGATGGTGAAGCTGGATCAGAAACAATACCAATTAACCAAAGTAAATAATTCTCTTTTGAATCTCTTAATTGCGCTAAAATCACAAAATTATATTTACCAAAAAAAAATTATTTCCATTTCAAAAACAAAAATTCAGAATTTCAAAGATTGTATTTCGGAAAAACATGCTAATATTAATTATTTGTTTGCAAAAGTATATAATACATACAAAGTTTTTTCATTGCATATTTATAGGAATATAAATTTATCGTTGAATAAAGTAGAATACATCCATCAAAATCCAAACTAGACCAAAGATCGTGCTAAAATATTAATTCACAAAATCTTCAATTCATTTAAATTAATATTATAAATAAATGAAAAAATGGGTTCCCGTATTCTCCCATAAATTTCTTGCCAACTTCTATTTGTTACAGTGATTATCCATCCAGTAAGTATTTTGAAAAGTAACTATCAATAAAAAGATTGATATCGTTTGATTGATATAAAAATTTGGAATATTTCCCTTAGAGACATGGAATGATAAATTTTCATATCACACATTGAATTTATCATTTTAAAAGAATCATAAAATAACGAAGATAAACTTTTCATTGCATATGAATAATGGCTTATCATTACTTATTTTAAATTGCTAACAGAGGTTTTTATCAATCTTACGCTAATTATGCTTCTTTTTTAAATGATAGTAAAGCATAACTTTTTAATTATAACTTAGCTTTCACTAGTAACTTTTGAATTTATGACTAAACTTTGACGTTTGTTTAAATTGAAAAAATATATAATATTTAATTTTGAATGATACTTCAAAATTTATTTATCACTTCTTCATTTTTCACTTATTTGCTAAACAAGGAAATATATCGCTTGCCAATCAATTTGTTTACTTTTTTAGGATCAATGAATTTAAAAAAGAGCTTCTCGAAATTAAAATAAAATTCTACAACGATAGCATTAAGTCAGTTGAAAACGAAATTCTATACATAATATTATATCATTTTATATGCCATTATCTTTCAGATAATTAATGCATTCCATTTGTTCAGGTTGTATTTTATGTGAAATAACATGAAAATAAAAATTTCTCGGAAGTTGATCTATAATTCATTAGTAATTCATCAGCATGAAATATGAAAATAACAAGACTATGTCTGTCGTAAATTTTAATTTTTATTTGATATCTTATCAAAGATGAATCATATTATTGATCATTAGATGATAAGGAAACATAAAGATACCATTAGATTCTGAATCTTTTTTCTTATTTCACACCTTATACCTATTCATTTGTATCAATATAATACTAATTAGTGTTAAATTAGAAGTTATTCATTCATTTGTTGAAATAACACTGCAAAATAATATTATTAATTGTAATGAAATTTGTTAATGTATTGCAATCATTCCAAATTTTGTCTTTGAAATTTTTCAGAATTTTTACTTTTTCAAAGTTCACATCAGCCAAAGTCAAATGCTTTACTACATTGCCGATTCGAAATGATATCGCATTAGCTTGACGATCTGCAAATTTCCAATTATTTCAACTTTTTTTTTCCGACACTCTTTCATTTAATACAGCAAAATGATTGCATGCTGCAAGCAAAAAGTGCAACACGAAGCTAATATTATTGCATGCATAGTAATACTAAATAAAATTGAGAAATAAAAAAAAAACTTGTATATTTCATTTATTATTTGAAATTCACCTAAAAATAACCTATAAATATTTTATATGAATATGTGATACGAGCAGATTTCATGTTATGTGTAAATTTAATCTTTTAAATAAATTAAATATTAACACTTACCCGCTGTGATAGTATTACCGGTTAATTTGAGCAACTTACGGATGAATGTCGGGCAATCGCATCCACCACAATCTGCCACAATAACGAAATAATTAGTCCTGAAGCTCGGTATGCCCAGTTTACTTCTTCATCTTGAATTTATTAATATTTCACTTGTAAAATTAAGTTACAAATTCTATGCTTATCACATAGTGTAATAATCAAAATTTAATAAATGATTGAGCTAATAATTGATCTTGTTAAGCAAAAGAAAGCATTAAATTGAAGTTGAATGAAATTAAAATTGAATGGAATGGAAGTAATCAAGTGTAAATAAAAGTTAATGAGTATTTGTTACCAAATCTAAAATTAAATATTTTATTTTTGCTAAGTAATACGTTTATAACATTTGTCCTGAATCGTTGTGCCAACCTATCAGCCATATTTTTATTATATTTCGATATAGGCAATAGTAATACAACAACAACAACAACAACAACAATAACAACAACAGCTGCTACTACAATTCCCCTGGCATTTTCAATGCTTCTTTAAAATTAGAAAATTTTTTAAAATTATCTAATTTTTTCCTCAATTGAAATTTCTTATTCAATTATGTCCAAATTGACCTAATATAAAGAAATAGAACTTTTTGCTTATTATTTCAACTTATATTAGCACCAAATAATACTTTAGCGCCTTCTTTCCAACCACTTCACAACTTTTAATCCTTTTCTTATTTACAATACATTGCTCGTAGTACAGCTAAACGTAATAAAGAAATGAAATTCATCAGAAATCAACTCTTAGCTTTTAATCATTATAATAGTTTTGTCAATAATTCTTTTTATTGCTTAAATTATAATTAAATTTTAGCATAAAATGATTCTCTTCGTTGTAATTTTCATAAGACCTAAAGTTGACCTATTGACCTAAAATTGTTAAATAACCTGTTCATTATAAACATTTAAAATATGAAACAAAATTTTACCTAATTATATTTTTTTTAAATTTTTTATTTCATCACTTACTTGATATGATAATGTTGACCATACATATTCGATATCGATAAAGTATCTGGTGATTGAAGTAAAGTTTGTTTTTGTTGATTGTAAAATGAATAATTGGATGGTAGTTTTGGTTGCTGTTCATTATTTCCAACCGTACTTTCTTGTCGATTACTTGAGCGGAATGATTTCATTGCCCGATTGAGAAGAAATGTGAGATATTGTGAGTTTAACATTGCAAAATTTTCATCCAAATATGAATAATAATAATAAATGTAATTAATTTCATTTTCTCATCTAAAAAAAACAATAAAACAATTGAATTAACAAATTATTAAAGTTGAATAATATCAATCATTTGCTTGAAACGACTAAATTTTACTTAATGGTATAAAACTAAATTTTACCTATTTAATAATACCTTCTCAATAAAGATATTATTGATTGCTCCGTCTTCATTCCTCACTAATTTATACCTTTATCTTAACATAGTCTTCATAGATTATTAACTTTTAAAGTAAATTTATATTCAAGCTTACAGATACTGCTAATATCCTAAGAGATACATTTAACTATTTCATATTTCTCATTTATTAATTTATAGTATAAAATGTGATTAAAATAAAATTTGACACAATAAAGTTAAATCATTCATTAAAATGTAAAATGATGAAATATTTGAAAATATTATGAGGGATTTTCTCTCGTCAATTCTTATAAGTTAATTGTAGTACTTATCGATTTTTCACTTTTCATATAAACCATTTCTTTTATAATTTACAATATTACCAAATTAAAGTATAACCTTAGGTGATCGTAAATTTTGAATGCAAAATTGTCTTTTCCTCTCAAAGCTTCGTTATTCTTAACGAATATTGAAAAAGTATACAACATGGAATTTAACGGAAAAGCAAAATTCAATAAACTCGATAAGACTAATGAACCTATTAAAGCATATAATTATTGCATATACTTTCTTATTGCAACAACAAGTCATTACTATTAAAAAAAATTGATAATGAAAACAGCGGAATTACTATCTTTCAACAAATACATGCCTCTGTGTATATGTGACTAAATTCATTATCCTTCAGAAAATAAATAAATATATAGATAGAGAGATAAATAAATTGGATAGATTGGATAGAAAAACACATGGAAATTATATACATATATTTACTGAAGAATATTGGAAGATAGAAATTGTATATATATATATATATATATATATATCCAATATATACACATAAATTTTAAATATTCTTTTCTATGACAATATCCGCTAGCTATATGCGCTAAAAACATGTTATCTGAGGCTTTAAAATATGATATAAATCATTCTTAGCCTAAAAATAAGATGTAAAAATAGATGGCAAATATATATTACACGAATGATATCAATGTGAAGCATCTTTTTATGTTACTAATAAGGATTGAATTTGATTGGATTTTGAAGAAGATTAAATTTCGATTCATTAATGATAAAACAATATCATATGTGATAAACAAATTTATGCTTCATTTTATTGGTTTCAAAATAGATTAGATGAAAATTTATTGGAAGATAAAATAGCTTTTTGAAATGTTTGTTTTTTTGTTATTAAATGAATGAAATATTTTGAATAAAAAATATATTTGTTTAAATTGAATATCATTCATGTAAATATACTCATTAAAATAGTTGATGAAAGTTCTTTATATATTCTGAACCAATGAAAAACAATGATATTACGAGAGAGAGAGAGAGAGAGAGAAAAAGTTTAGTTAAATATATCTTGATTACCATTTTTCTCGGTTTTTTTTTAATGAAAAAGAGATCTGATGAAAATGTAAAAGCATAAAATAGATAATATACATTCATTATTTTAATGTTAATTTTAAAAGCTAATCAAATAAACGAATGCTTCGATGAGTTTATTCTCAATTTTTGAAGTCTCTCTATTAGAAAATAAAACAGAACACCTAAAATTATATAATTCATTTATTTCATTTGAAATCATTATTAGCTTTTACTATAATCATCATCATCATCATCATCATCACATCCTATTAACAAACTATCGTATACTTGTTTATTATTAAATTAAATGAAAAGATCACTTTAAATGCTGTAAATGCAATAGAGGTAATAAATTATAAATTATTGTTATGCTTATTTTCATTTGAAAATTATTCAAAAATAATAAACATACCGAATTATTTAATAAAAGAAAGAATTATTTAAAAAAAAAGAATTTCAAATTTTAGCAATTCTTTTAAGCGAATATTTGTTAAAAATTCTTTTAAATTTTATTTTATAATTTATGAGAAAAAGGTAAAATAATAATTGAAATGTTTGATTTGTGAATTTTCAATTAAACAATCAAAGAGTAATTAATATTTTTAATTAAATAGAAAATGTATTGTTTAATGAAAAATGGCTTATCATTTGATTAATAAATTAAAAGTAAAAGTAAAATATGAAATGTAATCAAATAAGATTTTTGTTTTTTTTTAAGAATTTCTTCCAAACAAAAGAAAGGTAAAAAATTTTCTTTCTTTAAAGGAAATTTTTAATTTCAGAAAAATCTTAAAAGCAAAGAAACTTTCAAAAAAGGCATTAACATAAATGAATTCTTTCATTATTAAAATAAAATTTTCATTTAACTTAATAACTAAGAAAAAAGGCGCAATTGTTAAATATCATATTTTCCTGATATTTATCATTTCATTTTCACTAAAACTTTTTTTCATTTCAAGATTTCGGGATTTTATTTCCGGAAAAATAAAACCTGAGCAATTGAAAACAAAAGAGTGAAGTGAAAATTGATGACAAAAATAAATTATCAGTGATATATATATATATATATAACGATGTATCTGGAAAAGCCTCAAAAAAGAAATGGTGCTGCCTCCAGTCCTTAAACGTTAATTTTGGTAATATAAAAGTTTTATGCTTTTCTTTCTATTTCTTCTTTCTTTATCATCTCTCTCTCTCTCTGTCTTTCTCTCTCTTATTGACACCTCCATTGCATTCTCAATTCAATAAACTTTTTTTCGTTCAGATTACAGAGTATAAAAATGATTCGTTGATTTTTCTTTCCTCGAAACATCCTTATAGCATTAAGGATTGAAAGAGTATCTATTACTTATATAACTAACTGAATAACATTAACCAACTAACACTAATATTATTTACCACCCACTATAATAGCTTTCTGAAACAGAAATGAAATCTTTTTCCAACTTCTTTTCTGCTATCTTGTCAATTTATCAAAATTTCATCGGAATTTTATTGTGAATTGAATCTCTCTTTTTTCCTTATTTCACTTCTTCTTACTTTATCACTATTATTATTATTATTATTATTATTATTATCACTATTACTAATATTATCATTATTATTCTTACTATTATTATTATTACGATTACTATTATTATTATTAATATTTCGGTTGAAATTTTTTTAACTAAGCAACTCACAGCCATATTATTGTTTTGATTTACTTCTTCGTTAAAAATTTTATACTAATCATAATAATATTAAAAAATTATAAATAAATTTGAAAAAGTTTAATATTCAAAGGGTTAATTTATAATGATATCGAATAATCAATATCGATGGAATGCAAAGCACATTATGAATATTTAAAATTACATAGCCATAGAAAATAGATTCATACATGGAGTATTCTGATTTGTTAAAATTAAACATTTATAATAGCTTCCTTAATTTCTTAATATTTAAGAATTCATCGAAAATGAACAAATATGTTTCTCAGTAAACAAATCAATGTTATTAATAAAGTTAATTTAAAGATGAACTATATAAGAACTATATAAGACATAAGATTAACTATTTATATTAAGTTATTCATTAAAAAATGCTAATCACTAATCATTTATCAGTAAATAAATGAATATCATTATACAACTTATTGATATATTACATTATTTCTTTAATAAATGAGTTGCTATCATCGAAAATAAACCAATCATATAAAACAACCAAGCAATGAGAAAAATATAACATTACTTTAATGAGTTCTTACATGAAGGAAATAAAAACGCTTTATGAAAAGAGAGATGGATTTCTTTTTCTCTGTAAAAAATTGATTTGCACAAGAAAGTTGCATATAAAATATTCATAAAATTGTCTAGTTTTTGAATATTTCAAGAAACAAGTCCCGTTATCGATATTAGTGAATTATTTAACTAACTATTTCGTATAAAGTATTTGATAGATGATATGATGATAAGCAAGGTGATATGATGATATGATATGCAAGGTTATCATGAAAAGATTTCATCAGATGGGAACGATAGATGAAACATACAATAATATTGGTAGTGGGACATAGCGTGGGACAATTCATTTTTTTTGTTGTTTTTTTGTCGAAATACTAACCAACAAACCAGCTGGTCCTTACTGAAAATTTTAAAAGAAAGGTAGCACGTGCTAATTTTACAAATAAAATTAATTTAAATTTACTCTCAAATTTATTTCATTATTAATATCCATGTTGTTTGCTTGTTTCTATATACAAATTCATTATTTGTTCATAAATGTCACTTCTCATTTACATAATTACTAATAGCGCTGATCGAATACTTTAATGTAACAACCAAACCTATTGCCATCACATCACCATTGACAACTAACCTTGTTATCTTGCGGGAAAGAGTTTTCGTACAGTCTAGCCTATGCAACAATGACTGTAGTGGGGCTGTGATAACACATAAGTTGTTTCAGTCATTTTCTTTTCGTTCTATCTGCTTCTTTTCCTTTTCTAGCCTTACATTTGTTTTTTTTTCTTTCAGATGAAATTGTTAGACTCAGTTGACTGGGCGTATCTCTTAAATTTATAATGTCTATGCCTTGCATCATGTCGATGCTATCTCATAACCGTCTTTCTCCCTCATCTCCTGAATTACTCGATCCACGAAATCTATATACGTCACGATGTTTGATGGTTTTAGGAGCTGTTGGATTGATTGACTGGACTCAGTAGTTCGTGTGCGTGGGCGTAAGTTAGGAATTTTCTAATAGCTGTAAGGTAGTGAGGGGAATGGCAGAGTAATACTCATGGTTTTTTTTTTTTGCTCTGTGATGTCAGGCTTTTGCTGTATTTTGAAGTAGGATATGGACTGGACCCGGCAAAGGAGCATTCATTGCTAGTGGATTCCTTCAAATGCGTTTTCAAGTGTTCAACTTTATTTTATGTTCTTCTCAATCTTTAAATTCTTCTTATGAAATGAAGTAGAGAAGAATATTTGGGCTTTGATTCAGTTATTGGTTTCCTCCCAGACCGTCAGTGTTAGTCATTTCAGTGTTAGTGTGAGGATTCCTATAATCATTCGATATATCATGCAATGCCGATTATTTTTCTGGAAACATTTAGGTCGAAGTATAAGGACGAGTGTTGTTTTCTACCCTGTAGTTCAGAAGTTTGAAGGATGCCGATGGAGGAAAGGAGATAAATTGTTGAATTTATAGATGCAATTCAGTATCTGCATGTATGCTTTCAGGAGAGTAATTCTAGAGGGGAGCAAAAATGAAACTGAATATAGCATATCCGACTACTGGCTGTCAAAAAGTCTTTGAAATTGATGATGACAAAAAGTTGCGGATTTTTTATGAAAAAAGGATGGCGCAAGAAGTGGAGGCCGATGCTTTGGGCGATGAATGGAAGGTATTATGGTGGTCATTTTGGGTCCATTATTTCTTTTTTTCCTGGTCATTGATCCGGAGATTCATACTTCTTCTTGACTCCACGATAGTGTTTGTTCAGCGTTTGAGTGACATACCGCACGTTTCGCAGTTTTTTAACTTTAGAAATAGTTACATTCGAATTATTTGATACTAGTATGTTTTTATTTTTCATTATAATGAAGACTCAGCTTTCTTCATTTACTTTACCTGTATTATGTTGTTTAGCTGTAATCAATATTTCATATGCAAGTTTTGTATAGGGAATGTCTCAGATCACTGCTTCTAGTAACAATAAATAACGAAGAGAGAAACATGCATTATTTCAGGGCTATATTTTGCGTATAACTGGTGGTAATGACAAGCAAGGTTTTCCAATGAAACAAGGCGTTTTAACAAATGGACGTGTGCGTTTATTGCTCTCAAAAGGACATTCGTGCTACCGATCTCGACGAGATGGGGAACGCAAGCGGAAGTCAGTACGTGGATGTATTGTTGACGCTAATTTATCAGCCCTTGCGTTAATTATTGTAAAGAAAGGTAACGAGTTTCGTCGCTATTTAGCTACTTCATTTATTTAAGGGATTCAAAAAGTCTTCGAGAATTTGCTAGACCTCCTTCGCAATTAAATGTTTACAATTTATTAAATTTATTTCAGGCGAACAGGAAATTCCTGGTCTAACCGATACCACAGTTCCCCGCCGTTTGGGGCCCAAACGTGCATCTAAAATCCGTAAATTATTCAATCTAACGAAGAATGATGATGTTAGGAAGTATGTTATCCGTCGGAAACTACCTGAAAAAGAAGGTAAATTTGCTATCATTTGTTGTGCGTCTATAAAACTCGTTTTTGACGATTGTATTTTCAGTGTCGTCCAGTTCTGGCGCGCAGTTTTAGGTAATTTAGCTTTGAATATTACTCGTATCAGCATAGAAGAAAGTTCTCCCGAAATGACAATAGGCTTCATTCAATATGTGCTCGTTTGCAGACAATTAAACGTTTTTTGCATATAGATCTGCAGTATAAGGTCGGAAATGAAATGCAGCACCTGTTGTTTCAGGTAAAAAACCACGTAGTAAAGCACCAAAGATCCAGCGACTGATAACACCAGTTGTGCTGCAACGTAAACGAAGACGTCTGGCAATGAAAATTAAGCGAAGTGTCAAGCGCCGTGAAGAAGAAGCTCAGTATCATAAGATGATGACGCAGTACTCTAAGGTTTGTCAGTGCGAATGCAATTTTAGTTTTCCTGGAGTTTTTTGATTGTGTTAGCAAACTATTACTAGAAGTTGCAGATCATGAAATTTTATATTATTTTTACTTGTAAATACCAACCTACCGAGCCCTCTTTTGTTTGACTGTTTCATTGAATCACTGTTTTCTGCATACTTTTTTAGGAAAAACAAGCAGCTAAGATTGCTCGCCGTCGTTCGTCAGCATCTCGTCGTGAGTCAGAGTCGGCAAGACATAGCAAAAGCAGCAAATGAATTTGTTGAATAGCTATCATTTATTGTTCCTTTTTGTTTTACCATAAAACGATAAATCTGTTACTGTTTTATGCTTCATTTTTGAATACTACTACGGTGTGATGACAAAGATTCTGATGCTCCCAATTAAATGTCAAGCGATTTATGTATTGTTCCATTATAAGTTCAGCAAACGGTTTTGAAATACAAGAAATTTTTCTCAAGAAATCTTATGTAGTATCCAGTTATATAAATTCTATCACACATAACAATGAACAAATGATGAAAACAAATGAGTAAGTGATTTCTTAAGATTTCTTCTCAAAAATAATTTTAAAAACTCTAAATTATTTGTAGGAGATCTATCAGGATAAAGCAAATCGATTCTGAGCAGAAAGGCATCGATGGGGTCACATTCTAAATTTACAAAATTTGCATTGATTATACCGTTTTGAATTGGCAGAAGTGCGGTTGAAGTCGAGTAAAATAAAGTTGAGGTGCAATTCAGTAAAGAGAGAAACAATAAAGAGCGGGTAAACATAGGAAATATTTCGGGGAGAAGGTTTATTCTTCGATTACGAAAGATCGCTTTTCTTTTTTCATTTCATTAAGAGCACGCTTGATAGCGAGTCCTGCTTCGGCTTCAAACTGAAGATGCTGATCTCGTGAGTAGTTGTATAACGAGTTCAACATCACTTTCTAGAAAAATATTTTAAGAGAAATCCGTTCGTACTTTGATATTGCCAATGAGAGACCGTATAATGAGTTGCGTTATAATTACTCGCCATAATTTCGCACCAAAAACTTTGCCTTCAACTAATTCTTTAAATTATTCGTCATCTAATTAAAAATCCAGAAGTCCTTTGTGCTATAACGGAATTTAGCATTTAACCGACCGACTACTTATAAGATAATTATACTTACAAGATCGTACTCAGTGATTGGCTCAACGCAAAATTTATCCGACGTTATAGAGTCCCATTTTTTTTCATACTGTGGTCGACCAGATAATTCATCCTTATCACCAATTATTATCGCTTTTGCTGCTATCGTTGGCAGGAAAGCACCGTATAATTTGACAATCGTACCCAGCGCTTCGTTACATTCTAATTCGTTGTTCCCTTTACAGTGAGGTTTGCCTACTAGCGTTGCAATTGCCAGTGACTATAACACAATTCAAATATCCCTGGATCATCAAACGAGCAGATTAGTTGAGAGGATCGATAGGAACGCAGACGCTGGGCAGTGAAGACAGAACGTGTAGAACGGTTATAAAAGTATTCTGATTAATTAATGATTCCCAATAAAAAGACAAGGTAGAATCATCATTCTCCGTGTAATAAGGAGGCGAATAAAATAATAGTGACCATTCAGTGCGATTTTTGAAAACTGTATGTGATGTGGACAAATAAAATGGATAAAAATAAGAAATGCTATTCGAATCCATACCCAATCGCTGCTACTAATAAACCAAAAAAACTCTGTCCTTTCATAAATTTAAAACTTTTGCTAAATAACCTACCTTTGCACTGTGAACTCGTGCATCAATCCGTTCCCAAATTGTTGGATCGCAGCAAACATACTGACTATCGCACGCAATGCGCATACTACTACTCTTACATATAAATGCACCACAGAGACGACATTTCAAATCATAACTGCAGTACCATACATTAATTTTGAACAATTCCATTTTGAAGAAAAAACATATTTTTTAATCTTAAGTTAAGGTCAAAGACTTGATGATCTAAACTTATCAAGTGTAACTTCAAATCTTTCCAATGAATTGATAATTCCAGTCCTCAGTTTTAAAAATTCACTAGATTTTTGCGGGAACAATATATTATTTTAAAAAATGACCATTTTCCTTCTAGAGAACGTTTTCTCTCATTCTCTCGCACCAAATCTGCCTCTTGAAGGGCTTTCATTTGATTAATTTTTGCTTCCACCTGAAATGGATGATTTGAACACTGACCGCAAAAACATTCCTACATAAATGGCGTATTTATGAATGGTATGAATATTTTAATGCACCAAAGAAAATTAGTACAAAACCGAAGAATATTTCTCGAGCTATTATGAAATTTAGGGAATTAAATAGTCTCGAATTTTTTAAACTTAGAGTATGAGATTTCATTGAAATTTCTTTAACTCTCCATAAAAAGTGTTCGCAGTTTATTTACAAAATGAAGGAAAAAAAATGAAATTTACAAGAGTACAAGAGGTACAAGAGCACAAGAGGAATCAAGGTGTCGAATTAAGGTATCAAGACAGAATTGACATAGCATAGGTTGGAGAGATGTAAAGGAGGCAGTAAACTTGTTATAAAACTTGTTAACAGCTCCTTTATTAAAATTAAATCATAAAAAGGTTTTCTCAAGAATGAAAATGAGTAATTCTGAAATAACAAAGCAATGATTTTGATCATTAACCTACCAACTGCCTCATTTGGTTTTCCGACTTTGTTTGCATATGTTCCAAGCAGCGTCTCATTAAATGTTCTTTCTGAATGTTTTCTAATTCCTTTTCTTCTATAGAACCATCTAATGCCAGCAGGATTGATCTGCTATGCTTCGCCCGAGCTCGGCCTATAATGCATCTATGAATCACAAAAATCCGATACGATAGAATTATTACCAATTGGAAGAATTTTTTAAAAAACTTCACAACTGTTTCTAAGCAAACATATATAGACTACTCATCCCGAAAATTTGAAATCAACTTAAACACACCAAACTTCAAAAACTGCATCCTGAACTCACCCCTTCTCTGAATCAGTGACCTCTCGGAACCTGTGTTGTTGTATTTTATGACCAAATTACACGCAGAAATGTCCAAACCTTCTTCAGCAACTGACGTTGCCACTAAAACCTTCAAAGTGCCCTGATTAAAACTTTCAATCACAGTTCGTTGCTCTTCAGCCGTCTGACCACTCAAAGCAGATGACCGATTTGAACCTAAACAGATGCAAGCTATATGACTTCATTCATTATCATTTGTATACATTTAATGTTATATATCATCGCTCGTTGACATCACCGCATGCCATCATTTCTTTTTAGTGGTACCTTATTAATCTTGTTTCACTTCATACAAAACGAAAAGCTATTTAATCGGTAAATGATTTCATTTATGTCATTAGGACGACAAATGTTTCATTTCTGTATTGTTTTGAAAAGAAAAAACAAATATTTCCAAAGACTTGAATCTTCTAAAAAAAGCAAAATGGCATTACTGGTAACGAATCCTACTGCACGACTTGTTCCGTCGACAATTTTGACAGTGTTCAAATGATGTGACAGGTACTGGGCCAATATACGTGTCGTCACGAAGATTATCGTTCTGGATGTTGGTTCCGAAACGTACTGTTCACGCAAAACAGTGTGCAACATTTTCAAGATTTCTTTATCTTCACCCGCATCATTTTCTTTAAAACTTAATTCATACGGTTCCACAAATTCTGAAAATAGAAAAAGTACAAAAAGATCTGAAGGAAAAACAAAAAAGCTGCTCATCATCACCTTCGACTTCTTTACTGTTTTACTTTTTGGTATAAAAGAAATCTATGAAAGTTTTAAATGAGCATCTGCACAACAACCTGAAAATATTCACAGGTCATTGTGCAGATTCTTATGTGCAGAATCTTATTGTGCCAAATCTTCATGAAAATAGTTTGAGATACATGAAGGTACGTTTCTCTTATATCTTTCTTTTATATTCACATGACACTTCATAAATGAGAGCAAAAAAAAGATATAAGAAAATCAGTGAAGCAGTGCTAGCGATAATGGATGATAAAATGTTAATTCACCAGTACTAACAAGTTACATACTTCCGAAAAGCTTCCCCAACTGATTTTGAAGCGTTGTACTATCACCTGCATCGGAAAAAGTTGTTATCATATTTTCACGCAAATATTTGCAAGCATACCAATTCGGCAGCATGGCACTCAAGCAGAAAGCGCGGTAATAGTACTGAAACAAATCGCATGAATAAATAATAAGACAAAAAAAGGGTCACAAATAAATTTTCAAAACAGATAAACGTCAACTTATTTCTAGAAAATATTGCGAAAACATTCTATCATTTTACCATGTTTAGCGCAAATACTGGATGTATAAAAATGCCAACCCCGAGATGTTCCAGCATTTTGATTAACTGATGTTTTAATTTATCACTATGTAACTCGGTTAAACGATTTTTCAAACTCCCAATAACGCTCTCGTAACGCGTCGAGTTACGTTGCGCCGGAAATGCAGTTTCCTCCTGAAAACAGTAAAAAGAAACTAAAAAAGTAAAAACAACATGACATGCAGTTAAGTTGCAAGTATAACCTCATCTATCTTAAAATATTCATTCCTTTTTAAGAAAATTATGTGCAGTTATTTTCCCTCCACTCATATATAAAAAAGTTTCCAATGTTTTTCCTCCTGAAGTCTTCAAACGCTATGAAGGGTATGAATGGATGACACATGAATTTGTAGTGGTAATTTGCAATATATTTTGAATGATTCATAAAACCAGCTAGATGTGCTCTCGAAAGAAGATTACTTGCAATCTATACAACAGACCGTATGATAAAACTGGACTGCATTTTTCATCAAAATTTCGTTTCCAAGCAGCAAATATATTGTATATTTTGAAATCATAGCAACGACAGTACAGCATCAGCAAAACATTCATGTTTAAGTGTGTAGAATAAAAAAAAATTGAATAAGTCAAAGCTTTAACGAACCACTCTAAAATCGATAGTTTTATTTTCGATTATTTTTTCAAGTTCCGACTTTAAAGCCAATTCAATTTTTCTCATACAGATTATTAATGACTGAGAGAAACCGTCCAAGTCAAGTTGATAAACGCGTTTTATGTCTGAAAAAGAAAACAACGACGGTGCAAGCGCTTTTTTCACAATTTTATGGATCCTATCTAATTTTTCATGATAATACTCATTAAATCATTAAATTTGTTTAAATTTTAATACATGTCTCGACAGGGGCCGAAAAAACGAACCATCGACAGGCGGTTTCACATAATAGCGAAGATTTTCCATATGTTTTCGAACTGCACTAATGGAATAAGCAGAAAGGTTGGCACATAAATCCATCATATGCTATAATTTAATCAATACTGAGTTTTTAAAAGTCAAAACCAAAAGTCCAAAAGTCTAAGAATGAAAAAGAAGCTACTATGAATTATTCCTAGTTAGTTTTATATATAACATTTTTTTGCCAAGAAAAAATTTCCGTCAAATTAAAAAGACAAACATCAAGTGCTGCTTCAACATTTGCACGTCCAGCACCAAGTGGCAGGGAAGCAGTTAGACCAACAATTTGTGGCTTTGGGCCATCAAATCTGTGCAACATTCGCATCAGAACTGGAAGAAAAGAGCCTCAACTTCAAAATTTATGTTCATTTCACACTCTATCAAAATTTTCAAAGAAAATTATGCTCATTTTTATATGCTTATTCTCAACATATCATCAATGCGATAACACCAATATGAAAATATGTGCTTTTGTTATTAACGACGTAATATTCTTTAAGACAATTATTAAACTTAAACTAACTAAAGTTGTTTTGAGATAATCAAAATCAAGAGAAATGTTGAAGAAATTTGAATTTAAAAAATTGCCGTGATATGGATGGTCTCCGTCGCAATGATGGCATTCATCAAATATGAACATCGAGAAATCGGTGAAGTACAAACGATCATCTCGACGTACACTTTTCAACAAATTTCTGAAAAATAGAAATAAAACAAGGAATTTATGAGGTCACTGAACTAAATTTTTTGTCCTAATTATAATCAAGAGAACTTTTTCCAGACAACTTGCTTTAGGTCAGTTATGTCCAATTCGCAAATGCCAATTATAAACGATAGAAACTGATTATATTTACATGAAAATCTGTGGTGTGAAGACGGTTACATGACTTGCTAAAACATTTGGAGCACGTCCATTCTCATCGACTGGTTCACCTCCACTCATGCCGTCCACCCAGAATGTTTTTCGCAGATAACGATTCAACATTATACACTGTTGTTCGACGAGTGGAATTGTTGGCACAAGCATTGCAACCTAAAAGCTATAATTTTAAAATTTCAAATTATTCTTACTGATAAATCTTCCAATACACGAAAAATACGCAAATACTAATATCAAAGGCAGATCACTGAATGAACAAGTTTTCTTACAATGAGAATGCACGCTAAACATAAATATTTGAGAAACATTGGTTTTTTTTAAACTCAGCCAACACGTGACAAATGAATCTAAGTCTTTTCAAAACAAACTGTAAACTGTGTCGATAAAGTTAAGTCAACATGATTCAGCATCGTAACGTAATTCCTTTCGACAGAAATGAAAATTGAGCGAAATTTCTCTACATAAGAACAACAAAAATAAACCCTTGACGGTTTATTTGTAGCTTTCATAGCTCGAAAATGTTCTAGGATCACGTGTGCAGCTACAACAGTTTTCCCCGAACCAGTTGGAGCACAGATGATTGTGTTCACTCCCCGACATGCTGCTTCGACTAGCTCCTGCTGATATGGTCGCAATTCAATCGATTCTGCGTCCTCCAAGCGTTCCAGTTTTTCATCACCTGAAACATAACTACACTATCGTTGTCAAGTTAATGATGCCAACGAAAAAAAGTAGCAAGTCCTATTTTTAAATTTAAATTACAGTTTCACTTTTGAATAAACTGCAAAGGATGCACTAAATGCCTTCATCCGGTATTTCTTGTAGTGTTCTTGAGTGCGACTTTCCGGCTTTTCTGGTTCTTGTAGCTCTTCCACAATATTGGGCAATCCGTTTTGTAGTCCTAACTTATTTTGAGATATCTTCAAGATTCGACACCGTGCATTGTAGGCATCTAAAACGTATTTGTTCAAGATAAATACAAAAGCGAAAGTTAAAACAATTGACTCAACATTCGAGTATTTGAAACAACTAAATCACTTAAAAATGATTACCATTTCATTAAATTCACTATTCGATGCAACATATTTTAGAAACTCACCCAAGTGAGCCTTGTAATCAGGATCAATAAATTCAGGTATTGAACGGTTAGCGCTATCAATTCGGCAAGCATTTAAGAAATCAAAATACCAGCCAGATGGTCCACTCTCCAAATTTTTCATTTTAGGTAAGCTTCTCATCAGATAACACGCCGCTTCTTCATACTCTGCATTTTTTTTAAGTATAAGAAAGAACCTTGCTTTTTCACTACAAAATTAAATTATTTATTATAAAAAGCAATGATTTTATGCAGAAAAAGATAATGAAAATTTTTAATCTGTTTAACAATTCGGCACGAAATATAAATATGAAAATACTTTTGGTTTTCATCATTTTTCGCACAACATTCTTAATAGATTCATAGCCTGCATCTTTTAACCCTGCACAAATTGGCAGCGGTTCGACTGTCATTATAATTTTATCCATTCCTTTCATATCTTCGTGGAAGATTTTACGGTAATATTCCAATGATTTCGCTGATATACTTTCATGAATCGAATCAAGCAAAGCTTTGTTCTCTGCAAAAGAAAGGATGATGAGAAGCCAATCAACGGTGATATATATATTAAATGAAAACCGAATTCAAAAAAATAAAACTTCGCTTAATTCAAAGTGATTTGATTTAAAATGGGACAATAAATTACATGATTACAAAAACCTGGCAACTTCGACCCTCTGTTTTAATTTAATCGAATAAAGTTTTACCTCAGTTCTTTCAGTCCTTCCAAAGTTTTCATGAGTTTTCACAATTTTTTATTACAACTATTTTTCTGTGAATATAAACAGCATTCTACCAGTAGCCAGACTAGTGCAATTGAAAGGGATATTTGAACAAGTTTCATAGAAAATAACAATGGCTACGAATAACGAGTTCGTAGTGCTGGATGTCCGAGGCAATTCTGCCATGTTGTAACATCAATACCTTTAACAGCCATAGATAGTATATGATCCATGGCCTCACGATTAAAGCAGATCCGTCGCCAGAAATTATTCAGTGCCATTTTTTTACTGGAATCATCCTTATACAAATCCAAAAGTCGAGTAAAATATCTCGTATCATCTGAAATACAATTAAATCTTATAGACATAGATTTTTCAAGTAACTGATTTAATCGAATAACTCCTAAAACAGGATCAAGAGCTCAGCCGGTTTTAGAACGCTTAGTCGCTATTTAACAGCAAACCGAGAAAAGAAGAGTTGTGAGCAGCAACACAAAAAGTGCAAGACAATTGCTGTAAAAACTAATGACAGTCTTGATGAAAACTGAAAATCATTATAATTAGAGTAGTAACTGCACTAAAATCATTTTCCATCTTATAGATATGGATTTCTCAAGCAACAAAAAAAATTGTGGTTTGTAAGGATCACTGAATGAAGAACGATTGATTACGCACTAAAGTCATCATCATTAAGAAATTAAGCCAAACATTCGCAGAAAACTCAGAGATTAAATCGAAAATATGAGAAAATTATAATTCTAGCGATATTTTAATAGCACTTTGAGCATCTGTTGTACCGAAAAATTGATGGAATTGTTGCAACTTCGCAACACTGTCAACTGATCTCAATAATTCTGCTTTATAAAGCCTTAAATGTCCCAAACGAAATCCTTCGTCATTTTCCATCTAAATAATTTCAAATTAAATGAAATTTTCGCAGTACCAAGAAGGTTTGCTTCACAAATGGTAAAACATAAAGTATAGAGAATTTGGAAAAGAATTAGCAAATAGATAAGTAAGAAATGTTCTTAAAATCTCAATACTCAGTACTAAAAATCAAATTCTGGAATAATCCGAAACTACGTGAACATACTTCAAATTATTGAATCACTAAGACTCTAATATAATTCAGAACTAGACATAAATTGTACCAGCGGAAAAAAAAATGACTTACTAATTTGGAGAATTCGTCATTCCCGTTGAACATTTGTTGGGATGACATAGATGACGTCTGAATCATCTGCCTGAAACAATCAGTTTAGTCAAATTGGCCAAGTTATCGTTAGAGCAAATCAGTAAACTAAAGCATGTTCGAATTCTAAGTATCATCTTTTCGCTCATATTCACGAATACAAACTGATGATAATAAGTCACTACAAATGCAACATTCATGTCTCATCCGTGCTGTTGTTTCACTTAACATATTTACATTTCAACAGTGTGGTGTATAGAATAGAAAGTGATTTATGCAATATAAACCATTCATTATTAAAATAAAATGATAAACCCTTTTAATATACAAACCATAATTTTAATCTGTGAAATTTGAAAAAATAAATTTTCAAAGTCTTAAATTTTTCAATATCTATGAAAAATGTACGAAAAAATAACATTAATGCGCTTGTTCTATCAATGATTTGATGATCTCAGCTAATTTACTATAATTAATAGTTGAAAATGTCAAAAGTATTAATCGATAATTGGCGCTGTCTATAATATGACAGTGTGATTTCTCTCACTGATAAAGGTTACGCATGAAATACCTATTTAAAATACACATTTATTGATTTTCATTTTCATTTCCAATTTACTGGACGAATCTATTTTAGTTGGTGTAAAATATCTAAAGCTAAGTAATATATATGTAAATGATGTGCATTTACAGAATATCAATCGTATAAGAATGGGAAATAATATGAATGTGGCGGATCACTGAATGAAGAACGATCGATGAATTAATTATTCGTTATGATTGTTTCCAGTTTGTGACTTTTCCACACTTTGCGATGACTACCGCTTGGTAACTCTCAATTGCAGAATTAACTTAGAATTACTAACTAAAATAAAAAATGCAATATGATTGAAATATTGGTACAAATTAGCATAACGCCATGCTATCATATTGCTTCTTTACCTTACAATGTCAAATTTCATTATGAAAAAAATTGATGATCAGAAGTTAAATTAAAACTCATACAAGTGTTAGGAATAAAAATGATACTCTCACTAGATGTGGGTCATCACGAAATAACGGCTATTTATTGAAATCGCCATTTTTTCTATAGGAATTAATTGCATTAGATATCTGACCTGAATTACCTCTTCTGTAAGCCTCATAATTTATATCAACAAATTGCAGGAAAAGATAACGAATTGTGATAGCAAAACTGACAAACGGTACATTCATTTTGCATCCAAAATTAGCAAAGTAAAGATACGATGAATTCTTTCCTTTCCATTAGTAATTTCGGAAAACCTAACCAAGCAACTGATAAGATTTTGATGTTAAAAATGTGCATTCTTAGATATTACTTCACAAAGTTTTCGTTGCTGGGACTAATAAATTTTAATTTTATTTTGCAGAGAAACCAATTAGAGGTGGACTGTGTGTTTTGGGTTTAGCTCTTTATTGATTCAGGAGAACGTGTGAAAATTTTTTAGCGAAACACACTGAACTCAGAAATAGATGCAGCTCATAAATTAAGCTAGGAAAATCAAACTTATGCCACCAACCACTTCTCATCTCAAGTCCACCAAACCTTGATAGGAGTGCTTGCAATCCTGTAACATCTTTAGTGAGCAAAAGGCAATATGTCGTTTAATTTGCCCTTTCGGTCTCTCTACATTCATTTCTAACCTCAGAAAACCTCTCACTGTTACCTGTCGAATATCTTATGTTCAACAAAATAAAATGCTGCTTTACCATTCGTTAGTTGTTCTTTCTCAGTTATGCATAGCACAAACAAGCACAAGTTAACTTGTTATTTAAAATAAAATTTATTGTTACAACCAAAATGTGTCTCATAAACCATAGTTCAGTTTTGCATTCACAAAGCATTGATCTGCATTTTATAAATCACAATAAAATTTTCTGAGAAGTGAAATAACCACAAAACTGAAAAATTTTCATTATATTTTCATGATGCTAAAAATTTTTTTTTATTGTTTTATGATTCGGAAAGACTAAAACTTAATGCATAAGAATACATTGTAAAATACAAGAAGTCCAACTCTTACCATATTCAATTTTTGATTATATCCTTCATTCATGCGATCATTTAATCCTAAATTCGGCTCGAAGTTGAGAACTTTCCGAAATTCACACAATTTTAAAATTGAAAAATTTAAGGATCTCGACCGAAAATAAAACTAGGCCAAGAACCTATGTAAACTCTTTGAAATCTGTACAAAAAATTTTCATTTCTTTAATCAGATAAGAACATGCGTTTACAATAAAAAATTATGAAAATCATGCTGATAGACTTTTACAAATACTGTTAAAAAGATTATATCTCTAACAATTTACATAATTCGCTGGAAATATGATATAATCACGCCCAATGCTTAAGAAATCATATCAATTATGAAAATTTAGTCTGCTGGATCCGGCTCCTAAAACAAGTTGCTGCATTGAAACAACAAGTATGCATGTCAACAGTTAGAAATTTAATCGTCGCAAAAAGGAGTAATTCTAGACATATCAACAGACCTTAAAATCCCAAAATGCTATAGATAGCAACTTATTCTGCATTTAAAACAATATAAGAAGTAAATTATATATATTCCATCAAAAAATAAATATGTTGAAATCAGTATAACCCAACTGCATTTGTAATTTCGGTAATAATCGGTTTCAGCGGATGCCTGAGGTTTCTTAGCGTACCAATGGAAGCTTCAGAACTCGCAATAATGATTACAAAGAGTGAGCTGATTTGAAGTATCACCAAAGTTGTAGATTCATAACTGTAAATAAAAAATAAGACATAATATTTATTAAACAATAAAATTATTGATAAAAGATTAGAGGGAAATAAAAACGAATCAGAAATTCTAGCAAAAGTAGATGAAAAAGATCCTTAAAAAAACAAATGAATCAAAGTTCGTTTTCAAGACGCATAAGGAGTCCCATCATAAAGAAGTTTAATTAAGGTTAATTCTTTCAACTTGACACTTTTTAGTAAATCGGAAGTGTTAACTTATCAGTCTTTACTAGTTGAATGCTCTACCAAATAACTTACGAAGCAAGAATAAAATGCATACCAAAAAATTGCCGACTTTTGTTCGCCAAGATTTAACTTGGGTATCTGTTCCATCGTTATCTGATTACTATTGATAAGCTGCATTCGATTTCGCAAATCTTCTTCTACAAAATTATGATTCCCAAGAGTAATTAAAAAAATCCCAATGAAATAAAATGAAATGTAATATTCCAGGGGGTGTCATACATTATCCAATGGTATAGAGAAAAGGATTTGTTCACTGGACAATTTCCAAAAATACCTGATGCAAGTAGCAGGATCAAACGATTGCATCAGAGAAAAATTGCTGTACTCTAAAGAAGTGTTGCAAAATATCTAATTTAACTAATAGACTATAAAATAAGAATTTGATAAAAGGAAAAGTGAAAGTCATACCGCCTGATTCATTCACACCGATAATCGGCACACCTTCCTTATCGGTAATGAAGATATGCTGTACGCCTTCCGTACTCAACACTAACTTTCGCAACGATTTTGTTATTTCCATTGCTTAATTTCTACACTACGGTACGTTTCATCCGAGAAATATTGAACAGTAAAACAGGAATTTTGGAAGTATAATCGAAGAGAAGTTGTGTTATCAACCAACACTTATTACAATCAGTACGCCACCAGAGTTATAAGGTCCCAACTTCAAAAGTTGTTTGCTTGGAACTGATTGGGAAGGACTTATGAATTTCCACGATATGCAAAAGGTTCTCTTTACTACGATAAGATAATAATACTGAAAAACTTCTTAACGGGTAGTAATAACAGTATCACTTGTAGAAACAGTAATAACGGTAAGACATGGCATCTAATAGCTAGTAATCGTAACGGATGACAATAAGTTCCGGGCTTGACGAAGAATATGGTTCAGAATTTTTTGTTCTTACTTTGGTTCTAGAACGAAATATTAACCAAGATATCCAATGAATCTTACAGAGGGACTGTTGAGTAAGCCTTCCCCTCCTCCGCCTTATTTTTTCTTTTATCTCTTCTCTATCCTCATTCAATAATTCCGCCACTGTTACTTCAAAAAGATATCGACTGTTGCTGAGCTCTTCATAAAATTAATGAGATCTCGGATCAAACCTTGTCAATTGCTGATTTTAAGCAAAATCGTTGAAATCGATCCAGCGAAAAAGGTACCATGCAGCTTTTATAAATGCTTCAAATTAAGAACTGAGTAACAACACCCAAAATATAAAATTTAATCTAACTTGTAGCAAGCGAATGAAATTGAAAAAATTTTTTAATCGAAATCTAATCACGTGTTCGATGTCATTATTTACAAACAAGATAAAAATTTACCAAATTTAAACTCTGCCAAAAACAAATGTAAAATAATTTGTACAGAAAAATAAATGCCCGAAAATACAAGTTACATTTGATCGTTGGAGAAAGAAGTGAAAAAAATAATGGAGGTGTAGGTGGAAAAGAGGTGAAAATTGACTTTACCTATTTTTTCTTCATCACTTAGTGTCAACAACAAAAGTCGAGTTTACTCTTATACATTGAATGGAGAGCAATTTACTTATCAATTCAGTACTGATTTAGTTCAGCGATGACCATAATTCTTTTAAATCATCATTAAAATCAGCATTTTCCTTCAAATATCTGTCTCCAAATTTAGAACTTTATAAATCATATGAAATGGAAAAGTAGATTGAAATACAAATATAGATATAATGAACAACCACTCCTGATGCAGCATATTCACAACTGTAAAAAAAATGCTAAGAATTGAATGAAGCAAAATATAATTTTCTATTAAACGATTAAAATTTGTAACTCACGTTAATAAAACAATGACAACATCAAATAAGCATGAGAAATGTTCTGCTTTTCCGTCTCATGCTTAATATACAAAAAATTTCGAAGTTTTAAAATTTGGATAATTATGTCTCGCTCGCTGAAACTACCATTTGGGAAAGAAAAAAAAAGAGAACTACACATAAAAATGCTGGAGATCCTAAGCACTACAAGCCATTTATGTGTTCAAGGATTATGAATCAGAGCAATGATCCTGGAAAATAAGCCTAACATACGGTTTATCCATTGATAGCAATGATGTACAAAATGGACATACCGGATGAAAATTGCTTGTACCATGCGGTAACGGAATACGAGACCAATATCTGCAAGAAACAGAATCTTCTGGTACTTTCCTTTATTACTTGAATTTGCAATGGAATTCGACAAGATATATATTATTCGTTCAACTAATTAAACAACTGATACATATATTTTACGGACTAAAACTCGCGAAACAGAAATGTCTTCACTTGCTCACGAAGCAATAAAATATTTGGTGAGTGTAATGGATACATTATGGAAGGTCATTGATATATTTTGATTAAAATTAACGGAAATTTGGACCACTCACCTCACAGTGGATAGTGAAGCAACATGTCCACATGGATTGAAAGCATAGTCCAATGAATCTGAATCCAGATGGAATGCTGATTCCATTCCCATAATTAACTGAATTATTTTAGATGAATCTACCAAACATATGGGACATTTGTACAAAGTCCCACCCTTACTTTTGTCATTTTTGCCCCATGCGTGCTTCCCTTGTACGTGGCCACAATTAAGATAGACCTAAAAACAAATAATTATTTATTCACAATATTAAAGCAAAACCTCTATTTTAAAATGATTTACGACATGAAGTGTATTCACGTAATTGAATGTTTGATTTGAAAGCGATGTCTAAACACAAACTGCTTAAAGATTTTGGAAGTCCCTATTAATAAATATTGCACACTGTATTTTTCAAAGAAGAAGCGAAAAATTATAAAAACGAGACATACATATGGTTGCCTAGAAGAGCCGTAACTTTTCGCTGACTTTTTCCTTGGAATAATGAGAGTATTAAGATTTACTGGACATTGCGGTTTGCCAGCATTGATTTCATTCAGTCTAAAAACCCAAAAAAAAAATTAAAAAATCACTCAAAGCTTAAGTTCGAATAGAATTTAAAAAGATTTAATTCGAATCGAATTATACCCTCATGCATAAACATACCTTGATTCAAGCTCATTTCGACACGGACTTTTCGACAGACCATCAACTGTTCTCCATAAAAGTGTGGCACCACAGAGATCAATCAAAGTCCCATCCTGCAAATCAAAAACCCAGAATTTTTTTTAATAATTTCAGTATTCATTTCTAATAGTCAGGAATTTGATAAATCTAATTCAGAAAGCTCGAGAACATTTGAATTTTACGTTACAGTTTGATATACCTGCAATTCATTGGATTCACCCGCTAATAACTCTCCTCGTTTGGTCGAAGACCGCGTTTCCCTTATATTATAGATGTCGCCATCGACAGAGACTTCACGCCACACAAACATTCCCATATGTTCTTCTACGCTTTGCCCAGAATTCTGAATGACTTTTTTTTAAACTTCATCAAACAGAGTCCATCAAGTATGCAAGTAAAAACGCATGAAACATGTTATCACTAGACATTCGACAGGTAACTCTTCTGAAGTTAAAAATAAACATAAAAAAACCAAGACAACAAATCAAATGACGCATTCATTTTCATTTCTTCATCAAAAATATTGCAGAACTGCGAGCACTCTTATTAAGTACTTGAGGTGAGAAGTGAATTGATGGCATAAGTTTGATTTCCCTAGCTTAATTTATGAGCTGCATTTACTTCTTAGTTCAGTATGTTTCGCTAAAAAATTTTCACACGTCCTCCTGAATCAATAAAGTGCTAAACCAAAAACAAGTCCACCTCTGATTGGTTTCTCTGCAAAATTAAATGAAAATTTGTTAGTCCCGGCAACGAAAACTTTATGAAGTAATATCCGAGAACGCACATTTTTTAGCATCAAAATCATATCAGTTACTGTCTGGTTATGTTTTTTTTATTGAAATTACTAATAGCAAGGAAAGAATTCACCACACCTGTCTTTGCATAATGTTTGGATGCAAAATAAGAATACCATTCGTTGTAAGACCATCAATTTCCCCATCACATTTCGTCCACTTCGTTGCCTTTTCCTACAATTTGTTGATGTAAATTATCAAAATCAAGGAAAAATAATTAATTTCTAAAGCGAAAGTGAGAAATTTCAATAAACGACCACTCATAAAATGAAAATGCACAGCTATATTTAGAAAAGCCATTACTGAAGGCGTGAGAACTAAACATCCAATTAAGAGCATAAATTACTTGTAGAAGTAACGGACCCTCAGAAAATTAAAGTTGACGAATTCTCAACTGTATTTTTGAAAATATAGAACACAAAGAAAATGTACTCCGAGGAAAATGTTCCTGGAACTGTCAAATCCAGCTGCATATAAAAAAGCTCGATGAGGATAGTCACGATTAATTTGTATCCGACAAGCATAACGACTGATAGTTGAAGATATTGGTCGTCGTGGATCTTTCCCATCTCCATAAATATCAGTCACACCATTCTCGGATCCTGGTTCACTACGAACTTCTGAAATTACTTTTATTTAAATTTTTTGTAAAATTAATGACATGCCAGTTACATGAAGAACAAATCATTTAAATTCAGGATATTCCCTTTAATGGTTACCAATTCTCCTTTCCACACTTCTTTCTCAAATTAGAAAGCTTTTGTCGCAATTCAGTAAGCTGCATAACTCGTTGGGTCAATTTGATAGTGAAAGAATTATGTACATCAACATTAACAAAATCCTACTGTTTAACGATTCGTAACTAGTTTGTAGCAAATAGTGTTGAATAAAGCAAGAACCTGAATGAAAAGCATTTGCAGCAAGCCAAGTATCCACAACAGTAAAATCTATTTGTTTTTCAGAAGAGCGACCAATCTGAAAGAAGAACTTTGGAAGTGATTTCGATGTTCATTATCATAAATTTTTTTCTTCACTGCCATTTGATAAAAGCTGTCATGACTTTATATATATTGTGATATCTTTGCTTACAAAAAGAATTATTATCAAAAATAGCGGAAACTGTAAAATGCGAATAAAACCAGTACTTACTTTTAGTTTGAAAAAGAAAAAAGAAATATTTAAGATTAAAATTACCTGAAACATATCTTTATGAGGATCAGGGCTATATTCTACAAGAACTGTGTGATTACGATTATAGGAATATGACACAACATGCCGTGAAGCATCGCGCACTACCTGAAAGAATTTTAATCTATAAATTAATAAGATTAAATGACGTAGAAATCTAAAATTTATAAATATGATTTTTTTTTCATGATAAGCACAACTTTTTTCAGTAATCTATGCTGATGATTTAGGAACAATCAGACATGATACCTGAGTTTGTGATGGTGGTATGCTAACTGAACTACTTTGATCCTTTTTAATACCATTACCCGTCAGTCGTTTGCGCAGTATCATTTTTGAGCGATGCTTACGGCCTTGAACACAAGCACTATTGCTTTCGAGCGTTCCATTATAGCTACAGAAAAGAAATAAGTAATTTACTATCAGTAACGTGACTGAAACAAATCTGAACCTTTGCAACTTAGCTACATCGCCTTAATTAATATTCATTATACATGCAAAGAATCAAAACTTCCTATAATAAAAGAATCCATATGAAAATTACTATTTTCAATATAACGCGATTATCAAATCAGAGATTTTGTATGAAACTTTTCGGTTTCAAGAAAACATTATCAAATTTTCTACTGCATGAAATCAAAACTATGGCTACAGACTTAATTCTAATTTTCTGATTTTGATTTTTTTTTGATTTTAATTTCTACTACATGAAATCAAAATTAAAGTCATTCCAGTTACTTGCAGCGTGGCATCTCTTTGTGGCAGAAGATCGCAAGTAACTGTAAATTTGATTCATAAACGAAATTTGCAAATGTCAACTGAAGAAATGTATTGCTTAATCTGCTCCCAAATCAGGATGTTCGCAGCAAACATCGCTGACATGTATATATCAGTTTGTCTAGCGCTGAAAAAAAATAGAAAACACTCACCCAAGCAAAATTAATTTGCCGTAGACACAACCGATGTCATCTTCAAGTGACATAATTGTTACATCATCATCAGCACTTTTTAGGGTATCATCCTTGTACGTAACGATAGAGTCTTCTTCAGCCATGGATGATGCTTCTATCATGTAAATAAAACTACAAATGATGATAGTACTACCTCGGTGTACTGCCAACCGATAGTAGCAGCACTGCATAAATAAGATCTCACCATACATCAGACATTATTGTACCTTTTTGTTTCATTTTGTGTGCTTCAATCTGAAATCCATACGTCTAGCTTTCATTTTTTGCTGAAAAAAAAATCTTTAAAAAATTGCGAAGCGACAAAAAATTCCAATAAAACTTTTAAACTGAACCAACATATGTATTCCCAGATAACCACTTCCTGCAGTAGAAAAAATAGATGAATATTTTTTAGAACGCGGGCAGGTCTGAGGACATACATCTAATTCTCTGAAACCGTCACACTAACCAAATTTGCCGCATCATTTAATCCATATGCTGACTGATAATGGTAACAATAATAATAATAGTAATAATAATAATAATATGACAATAACAGCAATTACTACAAATATTACTAAACTCTATAAATCTCCGACTCCACAAAATCGAATAATACCAATTCTTGATGCTTGTCGCGAACTGAACTCGAACCTTGTGTCTGTGATTTTTTCGATCTCTGAAACATATTACAGTATTTTATCACTTCTTGACAGTCTCTTTCACTTTAGTAATATCTGCGTTTTTCTGTATATAAGCCTAATGCATCTTACTCTCACCCAATTTTCCTTTCACTCTTGTTAATCTTTGGCCTTTGGACTTTGCTAAGATTGTCCATTAAATGAGGGGCCTTTGTGGACAGTGGTTATTTGGCAGGATGAGAAACAGGAGTGTTATTTGGAAGACTTAAAAACGAAATGATTGAAAATTTTCGTTTTATTTCCATGGTATTCAATACATATAGCAGCTGCAAGGTGAATGGAACAGAAAAGTCTACCCACGCCATCGGTGTGTTTTCATTTTTGACACGGAAGCAATCTAACATATTGATCAAAATTATCTCATTTTCGGGTCACATCTTAAGAATTTCCAATTTTGAATTTAAATTTGTCAAGGAATCAAGATAAACTTCTTAAGGGCTTTTTTCAAAGTTTAAAATCATCTCAAATTGCGATAACCTGGAAGATTTATTTGTATATTCTTTCCTAGTGATATCAATAAGGAACGGTTTTTATCAATTATATAAAAATTAATTTTCTAATTCAACTACGAGAATCGGCAAGTTAGCTGTCATAATCTGAACTCATTAGCAGCACAGTACTCTGACAGTAGAATTATGAAAGTTTATCTTTATCTTTTATTACTCGAAGCACTAAATTTACTTTGGGAAAATGATGAATAATTAGCATCTGAAGAACTGCAAAAGAAAACAAAATGAAATTCTTTATTTGGAATCATAAAACAAAACGAATTGAAAGTTTGTTGACATTGTTATTTATGACAACCGATTGGATGGAATTAGAGCAAGCAATCGGGAAATTAAAGCATTCATAGAATGAGAAGAATGTATTGAACGGATTAGCTGGGTATAAATAAGTAAGAAATTTCATAAATCCATCTCGTAGAATGGGCACTCTGATTGCCCACTATTAATTATACATATTGCGCTCGCTATCTGCACTAAGATATTTTTTGTTTAGTCTGAACTTTACAATATTATCATCATTTGAAATTTTCAGCAACAAGACAAGCATCACATGATAGTTATCTATCTGCTAATTCATTGATATAATTTGATCTTATATTGCTTATTTGTTAGCGGTCACCTGTAGCTAGATAATTAATATGCTAACAATAAGTTATATCTAAATAAACCATTTCACAAAGTGAAAAATGCTATCGACCTTTTAGTAGTATACATATGCTTTACAAGATTTTTGTGAGCTTTACCTTTGAGATAAAACTATTCATGATTTTTTAGATATGAAAAGAGAAGATGAAGACGAAAGTGCGCTGAATCAGCAAATTTTCAATTGTAAAACAATAATATCATCGAATAATCAAAAGCAAATTCGTTTTTGTAAAATTCACTTTTCAAAGTTTGTAAAAGATCAAGATAGAATGAAAATCAACGGTCACATGGATTGGCGATCCATTTTTTGATGAATTTTCTCTAATAATTCCAAATTTAGAAATTGATCATTCCACATATTTGCAAATATATTTTAGACATATCTAAAGATAATTGTTTGCCTTGTAATGATTCATGTTTCATTATGCTAAGATAAATTATTTGATAATAAAAATGGATGAAGTATGATTATATTATGACATTATATCTCTGTAATTAAGTGTGAGAGGAAAAAAGTATAGTTTGTGAGATATACGAAATTTGTTGGACAATGAATAATTACTCAATGAATTTGATTTGTAATGGTAAAGTAAGTTTTAAAGAAGTTGCATATTATTTCGATAAAAACGTAATTAAAATCTAAAATGAAAATGATTTTTTAAACTGTTTGTTAGGCAGGAAGAAGCAAATGGATTTGAATGATTGATTTAAAGTCTGAACAATTTATATCTTTCACAAAAAGGCGAAAGTTCAATTAGAAAGCAGCAGATGGTTGAAATCGTAAAATTTTCTACGATTTTAAAATCCATTTGAGATGAATTGATATTTTTTCATTTTATCCTAAATTTGATTACTTCAAAAAATTTTACAAACATATACAGATTTGACAGATAAATGAATACTTGAAAGAATTTCAGGAAGGAAAATAATGGAAGCTAGGAGTAATGCAATAGCTTTCTTCAATGAAATTAAGAATGAATAATTTAATAAAAAAGCCATTCCTGCTAGTAAGCCAGAGTTAAGGCTGGTAAAGGAATTATTTTGCGTTTCCGGTAGGCTCTAACAAGCAAGAATAATCAATTTATTAAAAAACTCAAACAAAAAAAGGCAGGGTTCAATTGAAACAAATTTTCTAATTAATCCAACTTTCGAACTATTAAAAACTAGAAATAACATTTTGTAGAAAACCGTTACATTTTCTTTGACCTTTGACAGCTTTGACCTTATCAAGCTTTGTAACCATTCTTAACACACAACGCACCGCAAATCCCAACAATGCTAAATACTTGCTGGAAATAAAACGTAATGGTCATTTCGTGATATATATTCTAAATCAGGGGGCTTTCATATTTAATTATTCAACTTAATATTTAAAGGTTTTAAGCTTATTCGAATGCAGAAAAAAAGTTGAACAAATTAAAGGCAGGGATGAAGAATAGGACTTCTTAGAGCAGGATCGCTGAAACTAAGATAGCAAGAGTTTTCTGAAATTAATTTAGAATATGAAACGATTGGATGGACTGTAAACAAATGATAAGAGAGACATTCATTTGTAAACAAATGATATCATTATCAGAGCCTATAGGAAAATCTCCGTTGTCAGAGGCTATAGGAAAATTCGATAAGTAAAATAAGATATACCTAATTCAAACAAAAATGTACAGGCAAATTTTTTGGTTATAATATTTCGGTTTCTTTTTATCAGGTTCCAAAAACGATGCCTGTCAGAAACTTTTTCATAAATGAATAAAACAGAAGAGAAGAATTAAATTTTGCCTACTGTGAATTTAATGAAACTATTGCATCTGTCCGCCAGTATGAATAATATAATAGAACAATGGAAATAGATTTCTTCCGATAATCAACAATTATCTTTTAAGCGAAGTTTGCTATAATCACATAGAATAAAAGTGGCACAAATAAAGGTGAATGAATTTTTCCATACGAATGTTATCTCAATTTCTATATTTCTTTTAAAAATAAATGTTATACTACTTTTCGTTAAAAAAAAAGTATTATTGTAGTGAAATTAGGACTTTCAGATAAAATTTGATTCAATCATTCGATTAGATTTGATTTGATCAAATCAGTGCAAAGGAAAATATTAGCATTGTATTGTATATAATTATTGATTTATAATTTTTTTAATTCCAAAAATTTAATCACTTCTATTATAAAATTTATATTAGAATAGTTTATTTTAAGTTTGTCATCGAAACAATAATAATTCATCGTTAGTCGTTGCACACGAATTCAATAGTTTAGAAATCAATATATGATTCATCTGTTAAAAATTAAAAATGTTTATTCTTATTGTGGGACGTTTGCGTAAATTGTTATATCACATGCAATATATATCAATATTTCAAAATCTTATCAACTAATTGATTAATTATGCATAGCACAGGTGAATTTGAATGATAACGCTTATGTGACAGATTGAAATTTTCGAAAACTATTTTAAAACTTGAAAAGTTTGTTGATGAAAAGTATCACTGATGTCTTTCATCCTGACTACTCAATTAGGATGTTGTAAAGGTAAGAAACTATAGCAAATTATTATAATTAATCAAAAGAGGAAAATAAATAAAAGAATTAGTTTGCTGGAATATATGTAAAGTGAAAAGGTCATATTAGCTTTTCAACCTATATCGAAGATAATTCTTTTTTTAAAATTATCCCATTTCGAAAAACTAACTTTTCGAAGAAAAAATTTAAATTAAGAAGGAGTTTTTTCAGTTTACTAATTTACTTTGAAATGAATAATTTAAAAATTATTAGCTTTCTCAGTTCTCGAAAATATTCGAAATTACTGAAAAGAGCTATTTGCTGTTGGAAGAAATTAAAATGCTGAAAATTGTATTATTTTGTTGCTTTCTTTGAAGATTCTCAAAATTTAAAGATTTATCAAGAAAAGATAAAGCGTAAGAGAAAAAGCGAGAAACTGTCAGCATTTTATCAAATTTGAATTGATATTTAGAAAAGGGATTTCATTCAGCTGTAGACGTTTTATAATCAATTTTTCTGATACATAACTTATCGCAAGCTGGAAAAAGTTATTTGCCGGTGGCTAGAAAAAGGAACTACGATAAAGTGAAATACGAAGCAAACCTTACACATCCCGAACTATAACTGACACAAAATGTGTAAAGTAGAAAAATTATTTGCAAGTGAATTAATTTATGGAAAATTGTGTATGCCAATATTTTCGAAATTGATGATTTTTAAAATACTAAAACAATAAGTTCGGAATTTAAAAGGAAAAATTAAATTTTTAAATTCAACATTCTTTCATTTATATGATTTGATGATAAAAATGAAAATATAATTACTGCTAATAAATTAAAATAATTAACGACAAAACGACAATTTATATGTTAGGATTAATTTCAAATTTATATTTCACTGTATATAATATAATTTCATTAATAAATGTTAAGATAAAATGATAGTAAGATTTTATATCACAGAGGTATAATGTCAAATGAGGAATAGAATTAATAGAATATCATTGGTAAGATTGACCATCCATTTCATTTAGCATGCAAATTTATTAAAACTGTTAACAACAAATTTAGTAAAGCTTTATAGACTAAGCAGTAATTTAGTTAAGACAGACTAACAGTCTGCATATAAATCGAAGAAGTGATTTATATACTAATTAAGGATGTCATCTGTCATTAAACAGAATGTATAATATGAGAATTAAAGTTAGTGAAATTAAACATTTCATTCTTTTCCCTTCTCAGCCTCTTTCAATCTAACGCTTAGCAAAGGCATTGTAATTGACCTCTCATACTCTTAGCTAAATAATACAATTTTTAATTTCAATCATTTATTTATTGAACACAAAATTAAATTAATGAACATAGCAAATATTAAAATCAAAAAAGGAAACATTGAAAAAGTTAATGCAAAAAAGAAAATATTTGCAATGAATTATTTCTCGCAATATCATTTCCCGCAATTAATCAATAATTGAAACCAGTATTAGTAGTAGTATCACTTAGAAAATTATTAATTATGCAGAGAGTTAGGAATGATGATGGCACAGCCTGGCAGCAATACATCATTGTTCCTATCTTCAATAATACTTTATAAAAGTATGACTTCGGAAATAACGATCGTTGCAATTAATGATGTCAATTTGAGGGGAAAGAGCAAAAAATGTTATCAGAATAGAAGAGGTAGATGAACTTTCCACAATTTTACCCATTGTTTCATTCATTTCTTTATCTTTTTTTAATCATAAACTTTTTTTATTTGTTTATCTTTTTTGTTTATCCTTTTTTGTTTATCTTTTTTTGTTTATCTTTTTGAAATGTATTTGTTTATCTTCTTTTAATGTAAAGAACAATTCTGTTAGTATTATATTAATAAAATGTTAGAATAAAATTTTCAAATGATATAAATCAAATTCATAGACTGAATCATTTGGAAGAGAGAGAAAGAGAAGGTAAGCGAGAGGGAAAGAGAGAAGAATAGAAAGAAAACGGATAAGAAAGATTTGATGAATTGATATTAACACATTTAAGTGTCAAGTGTTAACGTTTTTCTTCTGAGAGAATGAATTGCGGAAATTCTGAAAGGCAGGAATGAAGCGAAATACGATGGAAGAAAGTGATGGAATGGATGATTGAAATCCCGATAGAGGACAGATGAATTACGTGTTAACTTCCGGTTTGGTTTTAAAAAAAGTGTTGATGTAATTATGTCGTTGAAATTGTTACCTTTGAATACTCTCATGGAATTTTTAAATATTCCAATTCTCTTTCTGTTATTTTCATACCTTTAATTAGGTAAGTTAAAAAGAGAAAATTTCTTTTCATTTATTAATAAGTATTTTATGAGAACGAAAATAAAAATCTTTGAGTTAAATTATTATTATTAAAAAAAGTTATTTTAATTTAAAATTTTCAAAATTAAATTATTCGACGATTTATTCTAAAAAATATTTTTCGTTGGTTTTTTGATGAAAAAAGAATGAAAGAGTAGAAATTAAATTGATTTTTAGAAAATAATAGTAAATGAATTGTATTATTTTTACTTAATTTTCAAACCTATTTTAAATCTCAGGTAAAAAACAATTAAATATAAAAATGAATTAAAAAGAAATATTAAAATCTTTTTTTGGATAGCAAAGAAAATAACAAAAAACGAAAATTTTCGTCGTTGAAATTTCATTATTGTGATAAAATTTTGAAATTAAAATACTTAAGTTATTTACTATTTATCAATTAGTAATTTACAATTGATATAATCAATTACAAATTACTGATTGAAATATCTTCAAAAATTTTGTTGATATCTTCTAAATTTTTTAGAAGGATTGATAAGAGAATTAATCATTCAGTTGTGAAAATGGAAAAGTAATCGAATGAGCAAAATATAATTTAAAGTAAACTAACTGTTTATTACTGATAAATGATAAATTGATTGTATTTTGATAAATTGCTTCCAATAAACTAAATGGAAAATTTCTTTATTCTTTTTTTTTAATATATGATTTAAATATTTAAGTGTATGATAAGAATACCTAATACTATCTGTTACATTTCATTACTATTATTCATTCTCTCTTTCAAGTAATTTACTGTAAAATATCAAAATACTCAATGAAACAAATATTCGTTGGATAATTCAAAAATTCTTTTTTGACATTAATTTTCAAAATAACAATTTTAATAATAAAATTTAATTTAAAGTTTTTCTTTCGCTCTAAAATTTCAAAAATAAATTCGAAAATATTTACAATCAAAAAGTTATGATTTGGCCATTTTTGATGAAATTATTGCATTTCTCACAAAAAAATATTGCCAACCTTTTTTTATGAAACTAAGCCATATCCTAAAAATGAAATGAAAGACAAAAGACAAAAGAATAAGCATAATTAATATCAAAATAATTTCTTCATATTTATTTGAAATGAATATTTCAATAATTTTTAATAATAACTTATTCATTTCTAAATAAACTTTCTCTTAGTTTTCTTTCGATGCAAACATTTACCCAAATTTCAAACAATTTACTGTTGCAAAAATTCAAATATATAAATAATTATAACACAAAAATATATTATAGTATGGCAATTATTGAATTATGATTATTATTATAACAATTATTCATTTTCTGATTGAACATCGATTAGATAATGGATATTTAACGTATGTAACCATGCATGCTCGTTACTAAACCAAATTTTATATGTGCCACCTTTTTCACATTTAATTTCCTCTTTGATTGGTACCACAGTTGGCCCAGGCATTTTCTGAAATTTAATTTATCTGTGAGTAACAATTTCTTCTATTTCAATATTACGAAGAAATTTTTAGTTTTTATTTTAAAACAATGAGTTAGACAGAAAGCAAATAATTGCTCTAAAATGATTGAGATTAGATTTAATTACACAAAACAGAACACATCACAGAATCTTTCATCCTAATTATTACAGTATAATTTAACAGTTACAGTATTAGTTTAGGCTTACTATAAACAATCATTTTAATTTAATCAATAAATTATTGAAAGGTTTAAAAAATTGATAAACTATGTCTTGTTTTATTAAATCATTTTGAAATTTGATAAAGATAATCGATAATGGATTATTGGATAATTATTATTGCACGCCTTTTTTAATTCTTCTATTCCGGCACAACAATCATTATTACATTTATCTTTGCCGGAATTCAAAATGATTTTCTTACTTACCAGTAATACAGGATAAATGTTGACTAATGAATTTGAATCTTTACAACACTGATCATCGACATAGAAAATTGTGAATCCAAAATGTCCATCAGCATGAATGCAAAATTTTATTACAGAACCCTAAAAATTTTTTTAATTTCATTAAAGTTATTTAAAAATTAAAATTTATCAAATATTTCTAAAGTATTAATATATAAACATATTTTGCCGTTTCTAGTTTTAATTTCATAAATTTCAAATTGAATTATCAAAACTTGTCTTAGTTATTTAATATTACAACGATCAAAATAATACTTTTTTAACATTAATATCAATTGTGCCTGTTTTCCCAGCACCCACTGATAATACTTTACACCTTTCATCAAACCTTTTTTGATGATAATTTTGTGGATTCAATGCTTTAACACGTTCTATTTCTGCTTTGAATACCTATAATTTAACATTTAGCTAAAGAAAATTCTAACTAATTATAAAAATTAAATTTTAATTTTCTAACATTTATATCATATCACATATAGTGAAAAAGTAAATCGATAATTAATATATGAAAGACTACAAATAAACTAAATTATTAAATTCATATAGCATTTATGATTAGTTAATGTTAATATAGCTAACTGATCAGTTTTTTTTCCACATGAATATGCAAATATGATTTGTTATCATCATACCTTTATGTTGTTATCATTCCAATATGCTGGCAATACTTCCGGAACAGCAACATTCTGAATTTCAGTCTTCCAATTTGTGCCAAATATAACAACCTTCTGACGAGTTCGTTCTGGTAACAATGGTTTTGCAATTGCCCTGAAAAAATGAATAAATAATTTTTGAAGGATGGAAATGGAAAAATCGTATAATCGATTGATAAACAAAGTCATTTAGAAATCGTTTATTATTTGTTTTCGTTAGCAAAAGCAAGCTAATTAGTGAAGAAAATGAATAAGTAAATGAATAAAACTATTACCTGAAATAATTAATTTAGCACTTTAAGTAAATATAAATAATCAATAATATCTACCAGATAGTAGCCATAAATGACGGTGCATTGACAAGCACAAATTTATTGATCATTTCTACGTAATGCTCACTCATAAATGTTGATATACTGGTCAATGGACCGGTCAATAAAGTCAAAAGACGTTTATCATATTTCAAATCCATCAAATCCATCACATACATAATATAAGCTTGTTCGCCTATAATTATTTAAATAAACAATTCTAATTCTCGATATTACTATAGTTATAGCATTACTAATATATTATGTATTCAAAAAAATCTGTGTTATTAATTAGAATTAAAATTTTTTAAGAACCAGCTTTTAGAAATCATATTTACCAGTTTTTTTTTCCATTTCCATTATTGCATGAAGTAATATTTCGAGATCTTGCGTTCGAGCAAGCATAATTTCATTTACCGGGAATGTCTGTATCATTCCCCAGAAATCATTTCGTCCTGTTTGCTCGATATTAACAATAGTATTTTGAGTTTTTATTGCTGGACCAGTTAAACCAGCCTAAATTTTAGAAATTTACAATTGTGGTACTATTGGTAGTTGTAAATCTGAACAATGAAAAATTAAATTTTAGGGAAAAACTTTGCTAAATTAATTTTAATCTAATCCCATATAATTAAAAAATTAATTCTGAATTTGGTAGGTACATTAGTTTATTTCTTAAAAGGAATTAAAAAAAAAAAATTGCGAAGTTAATGTATGGTACCTTCCAATAATCATGCAATGGATGATTGCGAGGTTTACTTGCCATACTGTCCAAATTCCATTTTGAATTTCGAAGGAGTAAATGATTTTTCAATTTCGGTATTATAGCATCGAAATTGTTATCATAACCTTGGAGCCATCGTAATAAGTTGAAATCAGTGTTGTAGTATGGTGTGAGCTGACCATTTCATTTTTATTGAATAATAATAAAACGGTTTTGAAATTTCAATAAATTTTATTTAATTTCTAATAGTTGAATATTTGATTGCTATGAAAATGTAACGATCAAATCAGATTGAATTTTTTGCTTCAAATATCCCATTATCTGTCCGAAAGAATCATTACTCAAATAGAATTACTGCACTAAAATGTTCCGCTAAAACGATTTAAACGCTCTCCAACCAATTAACATTAATATGCTTAATTTGAATTTAAAAAATTAATATAAAGATTCAAATAATTAATGAATGAAATATATTCTTATACGGTAATAGAATCTCTCAATAATATTATCAATATTCTATCACCGTACCTCGTCTTTCACAGCTTCCCGTAATTTTTCAATATTTGCTTTATCTTTTTCCGATATGTTATATGGAGGCATTATAAATCTGAAATATATGTTATTTAACAAAAAAATATCAAATGGGGTCAGAGGACAAAGCAATACATTATTAGTCCATTTATGTTTTTCAATGATTGCTTCAATTCTTTATGTAAGTTCTTTACTGATTAACTTAACTGATATTCACTTTACTGATAAACCAATTTACAAAATCGATTACTTAATCAATTCTTCTTTCAATTAGATTGAAAACATCTACTTGAAGAACCTGAGAATGTTCAACTGAGCTGTCTTGTAGTTCTGACATCCTCGAAAGATTCAAAAAAAGAAAGAAAATATTTAAAGTAAAATTTTCATTCCATTAACATGCTGTCAAATAGAAATTTTATCAAAAATTTTGATGAGAATGAGAGAAATGATGAAAAGGATGGTAAAAAATAATTTCATCCGGAATGATCGTAATGAGATTATATCATCCGGTAGATATTCCGGTAGATATTTGCTTACAATATTGAATGCTTCATTAATGTCATATACTCAAAAGTTAACATTACTCTTCGCTATTTTAAATGAAATGAATGAGAAAAGCACGTATATACAGTATTCCATAATAGGAGAAGAGGAAATGTTAGTTTCCTAGAAAAGACTTAACTATTATATTATATGATTACAGGAAGGCGTTTTTTCCACCACAACAATTTAAAGTTTCCGTTCTCAAAAAAACTCTTAAAACAAAATAAAACAGGTCATTGAATTTTGATAAAAATCAGAGCCACCTATCCTTATCAATGTTATCAACAGAATGGTCATGATTGATTATCATTCATCACCTCATATTCTTTATTTCTTTAATGTTATTTAAAAAAGAATAATCATTGCTATTCGAAATTAAAAGTGATAGATAAAAGAATACTGTCAACATTGTTAAGCAAATTTTTTGTTTTTTTGTTTTGAGTATTTTATCGTATGGCCAACCATTCACAATAAGCATTATTGGAAGCATACTTAGACATTCTAAATTGGCGTTTCTTCGATCTGATCCGCTGATCAGATACCGTCTGATCAAGAAGATCGGATCATTTATTTTATCAGCGATCTATTATGGTTAGATGTAAAAGTTAATCACCATTTGTATTAATTATGTTTAATTATTTCTCACATTCTTTACTAACTTGATTATTCGAATAATAATTGTAGTGATAATATTAACAATTATAATAAATAAGTATTTATTAGGAAGTTTTTCTTAAACAACAAAATTTCTGTCAAATTATAAACAAATGAATTTAATGTATTGAAAAACAAAAGTTCAAGCATTAATTTAAATGTATTAAAATAGTACAAAATAGTATGAAAATAGAATGAAATGAAATGAGAGAGAGAGAGGAGAGAAGGAAAATTTAATGATACAGGACCACTTAGGAAAACAAGAAAGCGTTATGGCAAACAATTCGTATGTCATTTAAAATGTGTGTTACCCCGACTTCCCATTCATTCATCCTATGCCCTTATTATTACTACGGGTTTATTTATCTTCCCTGCACTGAAGAATTGTTGAAAATGATAACTTAAATCCTTTTCAAATTTAATACTTGAAGGGAAGTAAAATTAAACTTTCATTTCAATTTCAGAATTTAAGATATAAATATCAACTAATTTATTCTATTAGAATATTGCTGTAAAATTCAAATACGTATATACATATATAAATATTATTGGCCTTATTTATTAGGATAAAATATTTTATGTTTAGCATAATATGCTTATGAATAATCAATCGATCATAAATTTCGGCATTCTACAAAAGAAAGGTAGAAAATTTCGAATTCACAGATAAAATGCACTTTTAACATAGAAACAAAAAACAAACTTTCTTAGTGATTAAAAGAAAAATGCTTTATTTTATTTTATTTCCAAAATTGAAGGAAAAAAATTTGTCTTTTGAAAATGACAATTCAGTAAAGTCTTTAAACGACGTACAACAATGTTGGCGAAGTTATGATGAAAGACGCTCAGAATGTCTGAAAGACTTTTAGCACATCGTCGAAAAACCGGTCCTATGCAACTTTTGATTCCTATCATCATTTGTGATATTGATAAATAATTAACAGTATTTGATTGTTCAGTTTAATTATATAATTTCTCATATATCATTATCGAAATTAATAAAATTTAATCAATCCATTACATATTGTCTAATTATTTCTAGTATTGATATAAAATTGTAAATTTATTTCAAATAAGCAAATTAATATTATCGACCGAAATTTAGAGCCTAAATTAGTATAAATCAATGATTTGCAATAATAATAAGTTTAGAACTAAAAACATTAACGATACATACCTTTAAAAGATCGTTTTATTTCTCAAAAAAAGACGTCTTCATTTTATTGATAAAAAAACTTTAAACTGCTTATCAGTGCTGAAAATGTGCCGCTTTTCATGCTGGAAACAACTATTTGAAGTGAAATAGTTTATTGATATTATTTGAATAAGTTTGATAACAAGTAGAAGCAATTACATTTATACAATAACGCCAATAAATTTGTCTTTATTTTGAAATTACTTTTTCTTGACAAATTCATTTAATTTAACTTTATACCTAAAGCGATCTTTAAATAATCTTAATGACCTTTTAAATAAACTCTTTTAAATTTGCATATTTCATAAATCAATTATTTCAGCAAGCATTATAAATCTGATGATTCACACTATGTGAATTTGATTGTTAATTGCATTTTAAAATTCTACGCTAAGAGAAAGTTTATTCAACCACAATTTTTATTCAACCATTTATTCAAATTTATTCAACCACAATTTTTGAAATTTTTTTGTACTTAAAAAATAATAAAATACAAAGGAAATATTTTCAGATATTATATAAATGGTAATTTGTCTCATTGTCAAAATGGAGAAAATACTTTTGACAAAAATTTTTTTTTAAAGTTTCAAATTAAATATTTTATTATTTTTTTCCTTTCGACAAATTTTAATAATTCAGCTATGGAATATGTATGAAACCATTTTTTTCATTGAAATTATATACAACAGAATAGTCTGGAATATTGCACAATGGATCGAGTTTCAAAGTTATCACTTCTGTAAAGCTCTATTACAACTTTTTCGAATTGTTCATTTAGTATATGAAATTATGAATTAATTGATGTAATCAATCGTACACATTCATTTTAATGTACAAGTACGAACTTTGAACACGAGCTATAAGGCACAATTTCATGGATATATATTGCCCCTTAGAACTTGAGATTATGAGCTGACATAATACTTTTATTATTCCTAAAAATATTTTTAAAATTCATTGTTTATAAAATACATTTTCATTCATATTAGAATATTGCGAAATTTTTTCGTAAAGATTTTAGAAGGCGGCTTTTATGAAAATAGGACAAAAGCGCCGAATACATTCCTTTTTTTGTAATATCACATTCATAACAATCTACCAAATGAAATCAGGAAGTTCAACAAAATCTTAAATTGTTATTTATGAAGTGATCTGAGAAATAATTCTAATAATAGCCATTGATTCACTGACCATTCATGTCCACTAATAATAAACAAATTTTCCTTTTATTTTCTCTGAACTTCAAAGATAATTAGCTTGTTCAAATAATTTTTTTCTTATAATATTTAGCAATTTAGCAATGAAAAGAAATTTCAGGTCGAAGCCAAAAAATTATTTGTGCAAAAGAAATGATTGATAACTCGTTCTGTTTAAGGCCTTCTCTCTCTCTTTTTCCCTTTTCATCATTATTCCATACCTATTGTGATGGTGTAATGAAAAAAGAAAATTCTGTTTAGAAAGTTTTGCACATGCGTTGTATATTCACATTGTGAAATAGCCTTTAGCTATCTAATAAATAGACAATGGATAAGTTATTAAGTAAAATTGACATGAAAGTAATGTGGAATTATTGGTTGCTGGCTGGTAGGATGAGGAAATAAATTAACATAATAACTTTTGATTAGAATAAAAGTTTATGCCGAAGTTATGCTAAAGCTTTTTTGGCATTAGCGAGAAATTTTCATATAAAAAACACTACATTATAGATGATTGAAATAACCAGGAGATGGTACCGGAAGCGGGCGCCTTCGATCATTTTGCATTGGCATTACCGGTACTCTCCGAATACCCGTCATGTTGATTGTAAATAAATCACCTCCATTTCCATTTTGATTATCAACTAGCATTGACATATGTTCTGCTTTCCCTACTAGACCGCTCAAATATGATTCCGTTCTGTTCATTGATTCCAATCGGCGAGAGAGTAAAAAGTTATTGTGAAATTCATCCTCTGAAATCTCTTGTATGAATTAAATTTCAATTAAATAAATGTCGCCAGATATTTGATTAGCGTTATAATTTTATAAATTCATATTCTGATAATTTGATATTATTTTCAAAAGTGACAAGTGAATAATTTCAAATGTTGCTATAATAACAAACCGCAAATATCTTTATTATAGACAGAAGATAATGGTGGTCTTCGATATGGATCTAAATTGCTTGCCGAATTCTGACGTATCATCCGGAGATTTTCCTGTCTATCGAAAATCGATTTCGGGCAGCATAACATCCACCTGCATTTTCAGTGCCCAAAGTATCATGAAATTAAATTGCATAATATTTGATATCCTTAACGTTATTTAAAGGTGAAAATTTAAATTTAAATTTTCTTTAATTATCCTTTTATTATTGCAGTAAAACTAACCTGGGCCACATAAATTGCGATACATTATCAGAGGAATCAGTAATTCGTTGATCGCTTTCTATGCTTCTTCTGGACTTTTTGCTATAACTTCTTAACAGCATCAATCAATGAAACTAATTAGCAAATTTTTAAACTTAAATTTAAGAAATTAAATAGTAGCTGTTGTTTCACTCAAATTTGTTTCTTGTAAACAGTGGCAATAAAGGTTTACGTTAAGTTAACGGTTGTTGGAATGGTAATAATATGGTAAGTGATAATATGATAAGTTAAATCGTTTCAGTCTAATTTAATTTATTTTATTATCAATTAAAAATAATTTAATAAATATTAATGATCGAATTATGGATCAAAAGTGAAGTGAATCGAAACTTCATGATTAAAGATGGAAAAGCTTACTTCCTACTCATGAACAGGTAAGTAATAACAGCGATGAAAACGGCAATAATTAATGATGTGCCAGCAGCAATTAAAATCCATATAAACCATGGAATTTCTTCTGCAAATAAATGATAATTAAACAGTTTAGTTAGACAAATCAGCTGAATTAAATTAGATTGAAACAATTTTAAAATTCATTGTAATTTAAAATTCATTGTATTGACATTTTTAACTTCTAAAATGGTCAAAGAACTTAATGGAAGATGGCTGTGAAACCAGCAAATGAATAATTAAATTTTATGATTTGCATTCCATAAATTAAGATTAAAAAAGGCATAAAGATCTTTGTTTACAAAGCAAAAAAGAACCAGGTGGAAAATTATGAAATTAATCAGTGTGCAAATAACTAACCAAAAGGGAAATATTATTTTAAAAAATTGGAGTGATGATTTTCTGATAACAAAATGATAAGAAATTCTTGAAATTAATGCATTTTTTTCGAATCGGCCCTAATGAATGAATAAATCAAAGGAAAGGTTTGATACATAGAATTATAAGCTTTGTTTCGACTTGAAGAAATTGGAAAAGATAAATATACAAAAGTTAATTTAATCATTTTTCGATTGATTTAGTATGAAACGATCGATCAAATGGATTTTATAAGAAATTGATGTAATAACGTTGAATAAAGATTGCATAATGAGAAAATTTTACTAATTAAAACTGAAAGAAAAAATAAATTTTTGATGTAATTTTGAGAAAAAATAAACTCATACCGAAAATATTCCATCCACTGATTGTGTTGAAAAAATTTTGAAATGTTGAATTTGTTGAAGTTGCTGTTGATGTCAGATTAATGCCATTGTCAGCATTATTACTATTTGCAGTTGAATTATCAAAAAATTTGATGATTGTATCATCCAATGTTGACTGAGACCAATTATCAGTTATTACTGCTTTTACGGTAGTAATATTGGCTTCATCGACAGCGATATTTTCCTTATTTGCAAAGATTGTTTCATTGTCCATTCGTATCCAATTAATTTTCCCATAGAATTAAGTCAGCGAAGTTTGGAAATTTGAATAATGCCTAGCTAGCTGATTACAGTTTACATATATTTAATAATTTGAAAATGAATTCATTCCATTCGAAGCTAAAAACATTTACTTTCACCAAAGCAATAAATTTATAAATAAACAAAAAAGGTCGTAAATGAAGTTTATATGCTTATCAGTTAGAATTTATCAGTAGGCTTAGTCCATTTAATTCAGCCATGATAATAACTTTTACATGATAATATTAATCAGTGACATCATTTATAATATCATGCAAACAAAATACAGAAATTCAAAAGATTTGTCATATAATAATTTTAAAAGTTAAACAGATTGATTGCATTCCAAATTTTATTTCTAAAATTTCAAATAAATTTCATAGCTAACTTTTATTAATAAGAAATCACAAGCAAAGTTTGACAAATTATAAAATTATTTATAAATGAAGCAAAATAAAATTAAAGTTTTCATTGTAACAATAGAAGATCTGTTTTAAATTTTCAGCAATAAATGGAATTTCTTTAAAAGATTGCCACCAAAACATACAATTTATTAATATCAAAAGTTTTAGTTAATTTATTTGATTTGATTTTATGTTAAAAATTTAATATAAAATGGCCTATTTAATAAGATATTAATTAGAGAAATAAAGGGAAATAGGGAAATGAAGAGATGTTGCTTTTAATTCAGCATTTCTTCAACTATTTCATTCAACGTTCTTCAACTATTTCATTCAGCATTTCTTGATTTTCACTTATTATGAAAGATACGAAATGAAGTGAAAGCTAAGAGAAAATTAAAAATTGTTTTGTTTTGTTAAAGTAAATGTATTAAATTAACAATACAAATTATTACATATTTTTTATTGTGAAATGAAATTTAAAATATTTATTTGAAATGTAAATAAGTCAAAAATAATGTTTTGAGAGATAAAGTATTTGTGAATGAAATAAATATACTTTCTTTGTTTCAATTAAATAAGAAGAAATCATTAAAAGGTAAGTTAAGTGCTCGTTTTCATTGAGGTATATAATTGAAAAGCGGCAACGCTCTAATTTCTATATCTTTTACATCGATCTTTTTGAGGTATAATTTTTCATGCATTTTAAAATTGATATCGCTCAGTAATTTTTTTATTGTATTTTATAAGGTAATTGAAAATTCTTCCAAAAAAATTTTCTAAATTAAATGTTCAATTATCGATCATTGTCTCTTACTCGTGTTCCAAAAAAACTGATCATTGCAGATGATCAAAGCTTTATCGCAAACATATGTATTACGTGAGCGTAACATAGAGGATGTGCAAGATTTCATTGAAAATTTGGTACAAGTTCGGGAACTACTCAATGTACAATTCCTGAAATAATAATATACACCTGTAATATGTAATATGCAAAGAAATCATTTTGAATAAGAATGGTACAGGTAGAAGGTATAGATGATACAGGATATTCCAAAAGCTTTAATGCAATATATGTAACAATAATATTGCTAATAATAATGATAGTATCCTTATCATTTTATCACTCGTATTATTAGTTCCAATTCTGTTATTGCTTGAACAGGTTTTATTAAAGATAATCATTTTTGTATTGAAATGTCATTATAATGCAGAGTAAGTGACTCTGCATCTTTGCTTATTTTAAATTTGACTTTATATTTTAACCCAATTTAAATTTTTACTTAATCATAGAGCATTTTCTATTCGCTTTGTTTTATTGATTACCTCACTCATATTTTTATCATTAATTTCTGAAAATGCCTTAAAATAACTATTAAGCGATGAAATATCACTGATAATAATACGTTTCATTTTTAAAACAATTATTGACTAATTAAAGCATTTAATCATAAGAGAACCAAATGGATAGAAATGTTCCATTCAAATGTTAAATTAGGATGTACTTAAAATATACTTATTTTAATTAAACTTACTCATTAATATTTATCAAATGATTAAATTCCCATAGATATAAGATTGAATATAAAATTTTAATTATTTAATAAAAATCAATCAATAATTTATTTATATAAATAATGGATCAAAAAATAAAATTGAGAAGGAATTGTCACAGTTGTATGTCTTTGGTGGCAGCTAACATTAACTATGGTCAATTTAATTGAAATGGGAAAAAAGAAAATCGAATGATTTGAAATTTTCATTTAAATTCAATTCAAAGATTTTTCATAGTAGTCAATTATACTTCTCTTATTTATCTTTCTATTCTCATTTTCATCATTCCATCCACTTTCGTTTGTTTTATGGTAATAAATAATAAATAAATAATAACAATCAATAATGAAGTTTTATTAAATAAATTCTTAGCCATTTAAATTTTTATTCTGAATTATTTGATTTGAATTAATTAATATAATAATCAGAAATCCTAGAAGATCAATTAGAATATTTCCATTTTATAGATATCATTTCCACAACGATATTTATATTAATCTTTTTATTATGCTATAAATTACAGTGAAATAAATGTGCGCAAAATGTTTCTTATAGTATTGCTTTCAAACATTTAATGCTTGTTGATAAATTAAAATTTGTTAACAGTGATGATAACAATTCAAAGAAATCTATTGATTAAATACAAGTAATTGTTTCAGTTGTGATATTTATAAATTAAACTCAATTAAATTATTAAAGTACAAAGTAATTAAAGTGTTACAAGTTATCAGTGAAAAAATGTTATATGATTTGATTGAATGAAAGAAAAGACTAAAAGTGATTAAAAGCTTTGGAAAGATTAGATTGTTGTTGAATTTACTATGAATAGTTTCAGCTGTAATCGCTATAAGATATCTCATATCATTTTATCGCGATTAACCAAAACAAACATTAATTACTTCGGGGAAGCAATTGGTGATTGATTAATCCTCAGAAAGCACTTCACTACATCATTTTAAAAAAAGCTGTAATATATTTTCCGCGGACTTTTTTTTCCTCTAAAAGATTGAAAAATTTTTTAAAAAATAATTATCCTTCTTGATGTGAGAGGAACAGTTGCTAAATTTCATTTTTAAAAAATTAAAATTTAACAACTAATCAATAAAATATCCTTCGTGGAAATTTTGTGTTGTTGAAATGAAACAATACTTTATAAGTAATTAAATTATATACAAAAAACAAAAGAAAAAATTAAAATGAGAAATAAGTACAAAGATAGAATTATTAATTTAACTTCAAGTAAATAAAAGTTAAGCTTATTTTATGCATAAATTTCCAAGCACTTAATTCTATTAATGGTAATGTATTATCAATGTTAATGGACGTGATAATATATTATCAGTTGTTAAATATTATGACGGACGTATGTACTTCTGAACATCAATAATAGTAATAATAATTGTTAATGCAATCATTAGCAGATTTTAATATAAAAATAAATAAATGGTTTAAATCATTTCATTTTAATTATTCAATA